ATCACTGGATTTAACCCAGAATAATTTGCAAGGTAAATGTGACCACATCTTTACAGTTAAAAGAGCCAATCACATTTATTTATTCAACAATATGAATTCGCATTTGCTGGACCATTCTGAAAAATAAAATTTTGTTGACTGATTTGTTATGAGAAACACAATTCATTATTATTATTACTGATTTGAAATATGTAATTGAAACACAATTTGAACAAACAGTTACACAGATTTCATTCTTTTCCCATTCAAGTCTGAAAATAGCTGCCTGTGGGAATCACGAATTTGGCTGCCGAGACTAGTTTACCATTCAACTCTGATTATCGCACACAATATCTTGGCATATGATACCATATTATGAAACAGTATCTGTGTCTTGAGCACCAAATTACAAAAACGGATTTCACCAAGTGCAACATGTTCCTGGATCCTCATTTGCTGATCCTGGAACAACATTACAATCAACGAATCAGATTTGATGGACAAGTTTAGGCTTACAACCAGGATAGGTGCTTCTCCATCACCATTATGCATTTCTAATTTTAGGGAGAGGTTAAGGTTTAGGGGTAGTTGGGCAACATTTTTCTACAGGAATGTTGTTCCAGGATCAACAAAACATATTAGGAAGATGAAGATGTTTAATTAAGGAACATATAATGAGCGATTTATTTTCACAATGTATCTCAGTGTTTCCTCCTTGATCAAATGCTTTCTGACAGCAAACATCTGTTAGTTGCCACTGATGAAATGGCTGTCTAGAACGTCGTGGAAGCTTCTTTTCAGTACACACAAATCACAGAAGTTTGCTTTGAAAATCAATTGCATTAATAATAAAAGAGTCTTTGCCGGAAGGATGAGCTCCGGGTGCTCCTTTGTTGCTTTAGACACCCGAAAGGCTGAATGGATAAATACAACGTCCGTCTGTGAAATGCAAATCTTTTTTAGGCATATCCGAAAGAGATCCTGTGTATAAATGATTAAACGCTGTTCTGATGGCACCGACACAATGACTTTGATGCGGTCATAAAACATCACACACAAACACACACGCATTCATTTGCAGCTACACTAATGTGGGTCGTCCTATTATTGTCATCCACAAAGCTATTAAAACCACATTGCTACATTTCAGACTCCTTTTTGAGGGTGGAAACAAACTGGATGGTTAGTGATAAAACACAGACAAGATCAGACCGATTAATAATATCCGGCTCCAAGGTCAGAGCTATTCTCAATGTAGGCTACAAATAGTAAAAAAAAAAACACCACTTGTTAGATTATAGGGTCAAATTAACTGCCGGCTAGTCAGAAAACATCGAAAAATGAGACCAATTATGAATTTCGGCATCGAGGTCAGAGCTTTTCTCACTGTAACCCTCCATCTGTCATTGTTTATATTGCGATGGTTCATCTACATTTGCCTCAGTCCCTTTTTACTTCTAAGCCCTTAACCACTGTTATCTATTACCTAATTTGATAACAGTTCATATAAAATCACCATTATGCATCATGTTGGTCTATTTCATTGGCATTCATGAAGGAATCTCACATCACTGAGAGAAACCTTCTGTTTGCAAGTATGTTGTTTAGGCTGTCAGCCTCAGACGCTGCATGATTCAGTGAGGCTGGTTTACAGTCTCTCGCTGTGTGTTTGTGAGTAAACACAATTTACCAGAAATGCAGTGTAACAGGCTTCAGATAACATGGATGACAAACTCCCTATTGGCCTGTCTGAATTCCCAACTCTTGCCTCATAACGGGTGTTGAAATAAGACTGACGAAATTGTCCTTTGAGGACGATGCGACTCTTTCCCTCCGTGAATCTCGTAAATGTTATACCAGATATGGTCTCCCCTTCTCTTTATCGCTATTCTTAGTCTCAGAACACTTTGTGCGTGTGTGTCATCCCCCTGATATGTTTTTGTGTCTGTTGTCAAACACTCGTCAAAAGCAAAATAACATTTCTGTCATTGTTACGGCGGACAGTCGTAGGCGAGGAGGATCTTGATGCAGCCGTATACTTTTAGTTAGCAATAGGTTATTAATAGAATTAATAGAATTAATAATAAACTAAAAAAAAGAACAATCAACAATGTGGGTGGAAATCTGACTCACTGACTCATTCTGTTACGAATATCATTTGCACACATTTAACAGTTTCCTTAAAACCAAACTGAACCTATTATATGTTTAACAGGGAAAAAATAACAT